TTTATAAGACTCTTCGATCAGAGGTGCCTTCCTTGTACCAGAGGAAAGGAGCCTCTTATCTCTAAGGCAGAGGAGACGCTGAGAAGATTCTGAGAAACAGGCCCAGCTGGTCTCTCCCAGGTCACCATACTGACTTTTTACCATTGTTCTGTCATGTTCCTCCATGACCATTCACTCTTCATCTCCAGCATAAAAACACTCAAGTTAGCGGTTCCTTTGGGTTTTCATTTATTTATGAAGGCTCCAATGTCATGTAAAACTTCCATTAAGTAGCTCTGGCCAGGTAGCTCAGTTGGTTAGAGTGCCAGCCCAATATACCAAGATTGTAGGTTCTGTCCCCACCGAGGATACTCGGGATGAAAAGGGACCACATGCTAACCTGAGTAGCTCAGGGAAGGCCTGCATGGCGACCTTGCAAACTCAGAGACCTGAAGTAAACACAAAGGATGATCTAAAATTAAAACTTTTTAAACTAAAAGCAGTTTATGGTGGGTAGTCATGTCCTTCCTGTTAATCAGTGTCTTCCCTGACAAAGGTCCATCTTTATCTTAACTAAGCCTGTCTATTGTCATTTGCTTCTAGGATAACATTTCTTTGGAAAGTCTGGGTAACTCCCCTTTTTCCAGACCTCACAAGGCACAAGATGTGCTGGGCTGCATATCTGGTGCTTTGGCCAGATGGGTCATGCTATGCTGTCTGTTCCTAAAACACACAGATAGGAAGGTCTGACATCAGGCCAGGCCTTGAGATATGGTCTCATGGCCCCTGCCCAGCACGCAGGCCTTCTTTCTCAGAAGGCCCGGAAGTCTCATTCCAAATTCGGGAGACAAAGGACTGGAAAAAGTACAAATAAAGAGAGTTTCCTCCATATTGGGGGCCCAGAATTTGAAAGACACATTTTCCTCTGGGCCTCCACAGAATTTAATAATAAAATGTAACTCCTGTAGTCAGCGCTGCAGTTCAGCCTCTGCTTCGGCAGGGTGCTGTAACTATAGTCACTGGCCAGTTCAATAAATCTCGCTTGCTGTTTAAGACCTAATTGGAGTCGGTGGTCTTATTCTCATGAACGTTGGTCCACAACACAACCAGTGCACCAGGACAGAGACCATAAATCCTCTCATTGTTTTATGTTAATTTTTTTTTTACATTTATCTTTATTGTTGAAAGTATTATAGATATTCTCTCTTTTCTCCCCATTGACCCACTCCCACCCCAAGCCACATGTAAGGTTAATCATTAACTGTTTATCCTGTACCCACTAATATAAAAGATGTGTGCATATCGTTTTACTTTTCATCCAATCCCAGAGGTTCCCCCACCCCGTCCTTTGCTTTCTCCCACCTTCCTAATCTATCACCAAACACATACAAAGCCAACCATTGAATGCATAAATAAGTAGAACAACAAATCAATGTTTCTCTCCTCTTCTCTCTCTCTTTCAAATCAATAATTAAATTTTTTTTTAATATATTTTATTGATTTTTTACAGAGAGGAAAGGAGAGAGATAGAGATAGAGAGTTAGAAACATCGATGAGAGAGAAACATCGATCAGCTGCCTCCTGCACATCCTCCACTGGGGAAGTGTGCGCAACGCAGGTACATGCCCTTGACCGGAATCGAACCTGGGACCTTTCAGTCCGCAGGCCGACGCTCTATCCACTGAGCCAAACCAGTTTCGGCAATAATTAAATTTTTAAAGAAAAACTTACAGCCCTAGCTGGTTTGGCTCTGTGGATAGAGTGTCAGCCTGCAGACTGAACAATCCTGGGTTCGATTCCAGTCAAGGGCACATGCCCAGGTTGCAGGCTCAATCCCCAGGGCGGGGACTGCAGGCGGCAGTGGATCAATGATTGTCTCTCATCATTGATGTTTCTACCATGCTAACACTAGTCAAAAGAAAGCTGGAGTTCTATTAATATCACACAAAGTAGATTTCAGAGCAAAGTACATACAAATCTACAATTATAATCAAGAGGTTTTACTAACCTTTAGTTAGAACAAGTAGGCAGAAAATCAGCAAGGGCAGCCCTAGCCAGTTTGGTTCAATGGGTAGTGCATCAGCCTGTGGACTGGAGGATCCCGGGTTTGATTCCAGTCAAGGGCACATGACTGGGTTGTGGGCTTGATCCCCAGTAGGGGTGTGCAGGAGGCGGCCAATCAATGGTTCTCTCTCATCATTGATGTCTCTATCTCTCTACCTCCCCCTTTCCTCTCTGAAATCAACAAAAATATATTTTTAAAAAAGAAAGAAAAACTTACCTTAAATAAAATGTATACTTTTCTCCTGTTATTCTGTCTTTATCAGTTTAATTTTCAGACCAAGCCAGGGACCCTGTGAGGGTCAAAGACAAGTTTTTTTCCTTCCCTGTGCTTCCTGGGGATAGCTACATTAGGTTTTCCCCTTGTAGCTAACTGTAGTGAAATGAAATTAATGGCAATCTATTGTTCCCCAAATTGAAGGAAAGGTGAGACCCAGGCTTGGAAAGGATAAAGACTGAGAAGACTTCAGAGACCTGGAGCAGGAGGAGATGGGTGTCTCCCCGTGGGGAACTGGGAAATTTTCAACCCCTTTATAACTCTGCTGAAGCTCCAATTCTGATGAGAGTGGGTTTGTGTGGTCTCTATAAGCCACAAATCTCAGCTCTACCTGTACCCTGAAATCTAGAGGGAAGTTTTTAAAAACATGTTGATTTCCTAGCCCTACCCCAGAGATTCTGATGGGTGGTAATTGGTTGGACTCCCTCTGGGCCTTGGTCTTTTCCAGAGCACCTTGGGGGGAGGAGTGCTCCCTGGGGTGGGGCTGAGAGCCTGCACCCACCTGTAGGTGCTTTGAGGCAGGTGCCCTGCAAGTTGTTCTCAGCTAGTGTGGGGGAAACATAACTGCAAATAAAATCATCTTTCACCCCAAAACATCCCTCAACAAAGTGTGGAGGAAAAGGGGTCACATGCTAACCTGACAAGCTCAGGATAGGCCTGAGGGCAGCCTTATAAACTCAGACACCTAAAGTAACCACAAAGTATGGCCTGAAATTAACTTTTTAACTGAAAGCAGTTTGTGGCAGGTGGTCATGTCCTAGGCTAGAATCTTCCCTAAAAAAAAAGTAAACTTGAATTCCAGACAAGATGACAGCATAGGTAAGCACAGTACTCGCCACCTCCCACAGTGACACCAGAATTTACAACTAAAACACAGAGCAACCATGACGCAGAACCACCTGAAATCTAGCTGAACAGAAGTCCTACAACTAGGACAGTGGTTCTCAACTTTGGCTGCACATTAGAATCACCTGGGAATCTTTTTAAAATCCTGATTTCTGGGCCCCATCCTCTGGAAATTCTGTTTCTTTGTTATGGGGTGAGGCCACAAAATTAGTAACAAAGAACTGATTTCTGGGCCCCATCCTCTGGAAATTCTGTTTCTTTGTTATGGGGTGGGGCCACAGCATTAGTAACAAAGAAAGAATTTCCGGAGGATGAGGCCCAGAAATCAGGATTTTAAAAAGATTCCCAGGTGATTCTAATGTGCAGCCAAGGTTGAGAACCACTGCACTAGGGAATTAAATTAGAAGCACATGGAGACTGGTAGGAGGGGGCAGAGATCCAGGTGGAATCATGGAACCAGCTGGTCCAACACCCACGTGAGACAGTTTAAAATGGGAAGAAATACTTGGCTATGGAGGTTTCCCAGAGGAGATGGGGTCCCTGCCTCACACCAGGACCCCAGCCAGGGTTCCAGTGCTGTGAAGAGAAGTCCCCATAACTTCCGGCTGTAAAAACCAGTGGTGACTGTTGCTGAGTGACACGTATGTTTCTGGAGTTCCAGGCAATTCCTCTTTCAAAAAAATATTTTTATTGGTTTCAGAGAGAAAGG